CAGGGTCAGCCCCCTGTCCGCCCCTGTCTTGCGAGAGGAGATTGCTGTCCTCCTGGCGAAGGATGCAATCGAGCCGCTCCCTCCAGCCGAGATGGAGAGCGGGTTTTACAGCCCACGCTTCATCGTGCCCAAAAAGAGCGGTGGGTCACGGCCAATCCTAGATCTGCGCGTTTTGAACCGCTGCATGCACAAGCTGCCGTTCAGAATGCTCACGCAGAAGCGCATCCTCCGGTGCGTTCGTCCTCTGGGTTGGTCTGCAGCATTAGACCTGATGGACGCGTATTTCCATGTCTCCACTCTTCCTCGCCACCGACAGTTTCTGCGGTTTGCGTTTGAAGGTCGAGCTTGGCAATACAAAACCCTCCCCTTCGGGCTCTCTCTGTCTCCGCGGGTCCTCACCAAGCCCGCGGAGGGTGCCTCAGCGCCCCTTCGGCTCGCGGGCATCTGCATACTCAATTTCTTTACGACTGGCTGATTTTTGCCCTCTCTCGGAGCAGTTGATTATGCACAGAGACAAAGTGCTCTGGCACTTCCACCTGTGGGGGTTTCAGGTCAACCGAGAAAAGAGCAAACTCGCCCCCGTGCAGAGGATCTCTTCTCTCGGGCTGGAGCTCAGCTGATGCTGTACTGTCTGAGAGAGCTCGACAGTAAAATAGTGGTCCCACTGAAACTATTTCAGAGGCTCCTGGGGCATATGGCATCCGCAGCCGCTTCATGCCGCTCGGATTATTCTATATGAGACCACTTCAGCACTGGCTTCACGATCGAGTCCCCAGACGCGCATGGCACGCGCGCGCACACCGAGTCTCTGTTACTGCGCTGTGTCGCCGCGCCCTCAGCCCTTGGAGCGACCCCTCGTTCCTACAGGCCTGGGTGTCTCTAGAACAGGCGTCCAGTCTTGTTGTCGTTTCAGCAGACACTTCCAACACGGGCTGGGGGGCTGTGCGTTGCGGGCATGCGGCTGCGGACCTGTGGAAAGGTACCCAGTTGCATTGGCATATCGCCTGGAGCTGTTGGCAGTGTTCCTCGCTCTCCACCGTTTTTTTCCGGTGCTGGAGCGGCAACACGTGCTGGTCAGGACGGACAGTACGGCGGCGGTGGCGTATATCAGCCGTATAGGGGGTATGCGCTCTCGCCGCATGTCTCAGCTCGCCCGCCGTCTGCTCCTCTGGAGTCATCCGCGGCTGAAATCGCTGCACGCCATTCATATTCAGGCAAGCTCAACCGTGCAGCCGATGCGCTCTCACGGCAGCTTTGCGTCCTGGAGAATGGAGACTCCACCCCGAGTCTGTTCAGCTGATATGGGCGCGATTCGGGGAAGCCCAGATCGATCTGTTGCTTCCCCCGAGTTCGCTCATTGCCAGTTGTTTTGGATGATGCACTGGCTTACAGCTGGCCTCGGGGCACGCGCAAATACGCGTTTCCCCCAGTGAGCCTGCTCGCGCAGTTACTGTGCAAGGTCAGGGAGGACGAGGAACAGGTTGCTGGTTGCGCCCCTCTGGCTCAACCGGACCTGGATGTCAGAGCTCTCCCTCGCGATAGCCCTCCCCTGGCAGTCCCTTCGAGAGAGCACCTACTCTCTCAGGGACAGGGCACCACCTGGCACCCTCGCCGATCTTTGAAGAGATTTTTAGACGCGAGGAAGACTTAGGTAACCTCCGATTGCGGTGGCTAATACCGTCACTCGGGCTAGAGCCCCCTCCCCGAGCGCGCCTATGCCCTGACGTGGAGTCTATTCACTGAATGGTGTGTCTCTCGCTGAGAAGACCCCCGTAATTTGCCAGATCAGCGTTGTGCTTTCTTTACGCCGGAGAAGTTGGAGAGCAGGCTGTCGCCCTCCACACTCAAGGTTACGTGGCTGCCATCTCCGCTCTTATAACGCGGTGGCTGGCAGCACCGTGGGAACGCATAACCTCATCATCCGGTTCCTCAGGGGCGTTAAGCGAATTAATCCACCCCGCCCCCTCTCATGCCCTCTTAGGATCTCGCCCTCGCTACACAAGCCGCGTCAGATCCCTTCGATCCTCGACTCAGTATTTTTCTGTCCCTGAAGACAGCTCTGCTGGTCGCGTTGATATCGATTAGAGGGTCGGGGACCCGGAGGCATTTTTCGGTCAGTGACTCGTGCCTGTAATTGGGCTGGCTTCTCTCACGTCCTGAGACCCCGCCCGCGATATGTGCCCAAGGTTCCTACCACTCCGTTTTAATACGAGGTAGTGAGCCTGCAAGCGCTGCCCTCGGAGGAGGCAGACCCAGCCCTTCTTATTGTCCAGTTCGCGTTTTGCGTATTATCCGGACCGCACTCAGAGTTTAGATCATCTGAGCAGCTCTTCGTCTGTTATAGCGGTCGGCAGCAGGGAAGTGCCGTACCGAAATAAGTTCCCACTAGATTGTGGATGCCTTTCTTTCACTATCAGAGCCGAGATGAGCCGCGTCCCCCGAGAGCGCGTGCGCACTCCACTCGGAGCTTCGCATCCTCTCGAGCGCGCGCACGCGGCGCCCCTCTAACAGACATCTGTAGAGCTGCGGGCTGGGTAACACCCAACACATTTGCAAGGTTTTACAATCTGCGAGTGGAGCCGGTTTCCTCAAGGGTATTAGGTAACCCTTGGTGATTGAGGAAACAATTCGGTAGGGTGTTGAAACACGCTTGCTGCGCCATTTTCCCTAACACGGAGATACGTGCGCCTTTTTATCTGTCAGTAAAGTTCCCCGTCAGGTGAGCCCTGCAGATTCCTCCGTGGCCCCCAGCACTGACTCAGCGGAGGAGTCACTTGCTGGCCCACTACGTTGTAGGTCTGCCCGCTGGTCAGCCCGCGTTTTGGGTAAAGGTGCCTGCTATGAGTGATCCCCACTAGGCGATCCCATATGCTTATTCCGCCACGGTTAAAGTCCCCCCCTGGGCGGACCCGTGTCTTCCCTCCCCGCTAACCACTCTTTTGCTATGCGTACTCCCCCTTTTTAGGGCTAGTCCATATGTAATTCTGCCATCTATCCCCCCTTGGGTAACGGATGGCCTCCGCAGCGTCCTCCCTATCGGGATTGCACGCTTCCCAACGTACTGTCGTATTTTCCTAGAATTATCTAGATGCTCACGACTTCCCAAAAAATATATATAAATCCGTAAAACTTCTGTTGAAGTAGGATAAATTAGGGCCAGGGACACGTTGGAGGACCGCGCCCCCCATGATGTGGGTGCGTCACGCTTGCTTGACTATCTCCTCATCGGGGGTGTTGGTAAGGTGCAGTCATTATGGCGCTTTCAATGGGCTCCCAATGCGTGGATTTTACAATCAAATCCACTTATAGTGCTGAAGTTCCCCCCGAAGGGGAACGTTCGAGGTTACTAAAGTAACCCTTCGTTCCCCGAGGAGGGGAACGGAAGCACTATACTCCGTCGCCATAATGACTGTCCCTTAGCTGTTGAAAGTCTCTTCAGCTTAAAAAGGATAGCGTCTGCTGGTGCCAGGTGAGCTTATATACTCAGTTGATTGCTTATGCCGCTCACCTGCGCAGGCTTGCGCTGCCAATTCATTCTTAATTGGCCCGTTCAATACTCTTTCAGACGAGTAGCTTCTGAACCGAACCTCCCAATGCGTGGATTTTACAATCAAATCCACTTATAGTGCTTCCGTTCCCCTCCTCGGGGAACGAAGGGTTACTTTAGTAACCTCGAACGTTTCTCTGTTTCACTCGGTGTTTCACCGTTCACTCTGTGTTTTCCGTTTACATATGAAAATGTTTTGTTGATTATGACGAAATCTATTTGTGTTTGAATATTTTTTTTAAGACTGGATTATACTGTTTGAAATAAATGAATCAGATCAATAAAAAAATTAAATATATAAATTACAGAGAACAAAGGGTTCTCAAAGGGTAACTACTTAAAAAAGAATAAAAATAAAAAAGAAATGCTACAAAAATATTATAATTTTTTTTTAAAGAAACTAAATCTGTGAATCTTTTTATCGCAAAATTCAAGTTTTTAGTGAAAACATGAAGGACTGCATTATAACTGTTTGGTTCAGTTCATCTATTTGTAAACCTCTGACTAGTTAATACAACTTGCATGATATGCTCACAATACATCCATCTGTAAATATTACAAATAGCTTTCTATAAATACACTTACACCTACAGTTGAAGTCAGAATTATTATTCCCCCAATTTCTGTTTTTTCAGCACATTTATAATCATAATATTTTTAATAACTCATTTCTAATAACTGATTTATTTTATCTTTGCCATGATGACTGTACATAATATTTGATTAGATATTTTTAAGACAACTTAAAGTGACATTTAAAGGCTTGATTAGGTTAATTAGGTTAACTAGGCAGGTTAGAGTAATTAGGCAAGTTATTGTATAACGATGGTTTGTTCTGTAGACTATCGAAAAAATAGCTTAAGAGGCTAATAATTTTAACCTTAAAATGGGATTTAGAAAATTCAAAACTGCTTTTATTCTGGCCGAAATAAAACAAATAAGACTTTCTCCAGAAGAAAAAATATTATCAGACATACTATGGAAATTTCTTTGCCCTGTTAAACATCATTTGGGAAATATTTAAAAAAGAAATAAAAAATCAAAGGAGGGCTAAAAATTCTGACTTTAACTGTATATACTGATTTTGATGCTATTGCATTCCTGGTTAGACCTAAACTGCATTTTAAAATATAATAATAAATAAAATCCCTATGGCAAAATAAATGAGAAAAATACTCCCATAAATAGATTGTGCCATCTTTAGTCTACATCTATAAGGATCCTTTGTCTGTTAGGTTGACCACAGGATGCAAAAAGTTCGATCGGTTCATACAATTTCTCTTTTACCCCTGATGTGTCATTAACAGCAACCACATGTTTGCATGTTTACCCATTCCCAACCACTGCCAAGACTAGCGCCTGGTGGATAAATGAAAATAAACCAAATCCCAGGGGAAGTTGGGTGTTTTGTGGTTTGGTTGAGTGTTGAGAGCTCAGTCTCCAGGATACTCACGTGGAGGTGCTTGCGTTTGCGGCCGGGCCGTCCAACCTTGCGGACAGGAGTGCAGAGTGAAGGCATCTCGTCAATAATCATGGTTTCCATAGAGCTTTCATTCTAAACAGACAGAAACGACCACCATCATTAACTTTTACTGCTCAACCAGACCTCAAAGTCAAGATTTCTGGCATTAGGTTGGGGTGATTTGGCTTCAACCAAGTTATTTATGTATATTTTGAGACTCATATTTATCCAGTGTTTCATTTAGGTGCATTAAGTAGCAGATATTGGAATATTTCCAAAATGAGGGAGATCTTAAATAGAGATGCTCCAAATAATTGCCAAAGAACTGGTATACTCTGGCAATTTGAAAACAGCCAATAATCAGGACCTATTATATCCTGCCAATCATCATCCAGCCACATCAAATTGGTGCCTTTTTGTAAAATAAAACGTCTTGTGAGTACCTTGTGGAATCATTTTGAATTGGATGAAAATGAAAGTATCGTTGTCACAATCACCAGTGATCTAGCCTATGCAGATTGCTGGAGAACTACACATCTGCCACCACATGAACTACAACTACCACAAGGCCTTGCACTAATCGACACCCGCTACAGCTGACGATAATCCGGGCACTCACTCACACACACACACACAGCTGAAACTCATTCTCACTGATTACCAGGACTATAAAGAACACAGCACACTTCTGGGCTGAGTCTTGTTCACCTATAACATTACCAAGCCTTATTCCTGTCTAGCCTTGCCATGCCTTTTGATCCTTGCTTTGTTTATTGTTTATGCTGTTTGCCACCTGCACCGACCTCTTTGCCTGTGACCACAACCAGGTTTTTGGATTACCTTCATAGTACTGTTTGCTCCTGTTTTGACCATTGCCTGCCTGACTAAGTAGTAAATAAACTGCATTTGGACCCTCACCTCGGTTGTACCCCGACTCCCTTGTTACAAGCGTCTGCATTTATTTTGCGGATGCACATGAACCCTTACCTAAAAAGCTAAGATTCTTCAGGACTTTGTTAATTAGTTACAAAATATATATATATTTATGATACTAGTTATAGCAAAACTATTTTGTTTAAATGCATTTTGTGAAATTATTTGAATTATAATATTCTACAAACAATCACTATTGACAGATTTAATGTTGAATAGTCACACACTGTAAAAAATATATGTAAATTTGTTGTTTTCCATATTTTAAGATTATTATTTAAAAAATTTTCCCTGTTTATTTATTTTTTAACTGCATGATGGGACCTTAATCTTTCTTCCAACAACTTTTAGCCTCAAAAAGTTCAACAAAGTCCCTTTTATAATAGTTTAATTGACATATTGACTGGGTTGGTGTTGTATATTACGATACAAAAACCCTGTAATAAACTGCCAGTACATTTTCTGTTATTTTACAGACTTATTTCTCTCTACATTGTTTCTTATACATTCTATTATTTTAAACTGCTAAAATATCAATAAAAGACACTTTATTAAACTGTAGAGTTGAATTTTTAACATCAGAAGTCGACAGAGCAGAGATCAACATCCCATAATGCAACTCACAACTGTGAATATACAGAAAACACTTGTAAATCACAAAATACAGAAAATGTTAATTAACAGACATTTTTTATGAAATTTAGTATCAAATAAATGCAGATCAAGTTGTTAAAAACTGTATAAAGCATAAATTATAATTAAAATAATAATTAATTTTAACAAGTGTGAGTGTATTTAGCCAAAATAGCTAATATTTGTGTAAAATAATATTAACCATCATCTTATCATGGATTTAATATGAGTTTGTTGTTTTACATTGGGCGATACAGTGGCGCAGTAGCAAGAAGGTTGCTGGTTCGAGCCTCGACTGGGTCAGTTGGCTTTTCTGTGTGGAGTTTGCATGTTCTCCCTGCATTCGCGTGGGTTTCCTCTGAGTGCTCTAGTTTTCCCCACAGTCAAAAGACATGCGGGAAAGGTGAATTGGGCAAGCTAATTTGCCTGTAGTGTATGTGTGTGAATGAGTGTTATTGGATGTTTCCCAGAGATGGGTTGCAGCGAGAAAGGCATCTGCTGCGTAAAACATGTGCTGGATAAGTTGGCGGTTCATTCAGCTGGGGTGACCCCGGATTAATAAAGGGACTAAGCCGAAAAGAAAATGAATGAATGTTTTACAGTGATGACATGAATTTTCTGATGAATGTCCGCTCCAGGATAGAGTAACACAGATTCTTTCTTATGTCTTTATGATTATTAATAAAGTTAAATGTTTAAGAGCCTAGATTATATGATGACCTTAGTGTCATCCCACTTCAGTAAAACTGGAATAATTTGAGTGTGTAATAATTGTAATTGCTTTTTCTGTATGCCAAATGATTTATTTCCTCAGGATCTGCCCAGCCAGGTCAGAGATCATGGAGCCCTCTTGAGTGGACCCGGACTCTTGAAGAATTGGAAACAGTTCTGAGTTTCTGAGTTATTTGCCATTTTATGTATTCTATCTTTATAAAGTTAATTCCCTTGTATGTAAGCTGGCAGTTTGGACGTAGATTGTAGCATTTTTTAACCAGTTTTGATAAACACGTCTGTACACTCAGCTTGGTAAGAAATAGATTGTACTTTGAATGTGCATGTTCTATCACTTTATGGCCCATTTCACAGGTCTCGAGTCAGCTCTGAACAACCTAGTGGCTGTATAACATTTATATGCTTGAAATACAGAGATATCATTCACAATTGTATGCATGCAGCCACATGGAATTTTTTCTATATGTATGACGCAGCTAATGACATTATGTAAGAGTATAATTGTTGATGTTTTGGGATAGTAAGCAGAGCGGCCTACAAACTCTTTGTGAGTGTTGAAGCTTTATTCTGTGGATGAAAGTACAAACTATCTTCAATTAACTTTTTTAATGAATCTCTGACTCTCATTTTTTGGTTCAAACTGCAAATTTCCTACAACAGTTTGTATCCTTAACCTTTACGTGCCAAAACGTGCCGGTATACACGCCAAAACCTGAATTAGCTGAATAAGATTTCTAAATGTCACCCAACAAATTGCATTTTGGCGACAAGGTTATTCAGATAATGAGAAAAGCCGGTGTTTGAATGGCATGTTCTTTTGAGCTAAGTGAGGATTGACACAGCCGTGGAGAGACCGCAAACTCTCTGGGCTCTCTTGACACGGTTACAAAGACATTCAGCGATTCATTCTCTGCCCTCATTCACGTTCTCTTTGTTTAACGCAACCGTGTCTTCCCTCCTCAACAATAGCCACTCTCCGTCCAGGCAAGCACCCTAGGGTGGATGGAGGAGAATAAAAAAAGCAAAAAAGATGATCCTAATGTAGCCACTGGGCTGAATGAAGCCACCGGCTCTAAATCTGAATTCAAATGTCTGCCATGACTACTGAGAAGTCCAGCATGGACGGAAGATGGCGGGACACCACTGGAATTTACATTCATGCTTGCGACTACAAGGTACACATTAAATCGATTCTTGATTTAACTAGGACTTAAACCCACAACCTTGGGTCAAATTTCATTATCATAAACCTTGCTAATCCTTACAAACCTTTTTTGTGTTTAGTTTATTATGTGACCCTTTTGGTTCTGTGTTGGCACAAGCATGTATTTTTATTGACTTTTTATTGGATTGAAACTGAAACTCATTAAAAAACGATCCAATTGTCACAATCACTAGAGATCTAGTCCATATGGATCGCTGGGGAACTACAATCTGCCACCAAATGGACTACAAATCCTGTCATGCACTTCACACACACCTGTTTCAGTTTCCCCTGATGACACACAGCTGAAGCTCATCATTAATGAATTACCTGGACTATAAAGACACCTCTCCATTCCACACACATTGCTGAGTCTTGATCACAGTATTGTAGCACTACTAAGCGTTATCCTATCCAGTCATATTGTGTTTGATCCTTGCCTGGTTTTCTGTTATTGATTCTCTACCACTTGTACTGACTACTTGCCTGTTTTTGACTATGATATTAGACTACCTGTGTGCTACTGTATGTTCTTGTGTTTGACCATCACCTGCAAGACTATTCTATATAAAATTAGTGGTGGACAAAGCGAAGCTTAGGGGCGACGTGGTGGCACAGTAGGTAGTGCTGTTGACTCACAGCAAGAATGTCGCTGGTTCAAGCTTTGGCTGGGGTCAGTTGGCATTTCTGTGTGGAGTTTGCATATTCTCCTCACATTCGTCCAAAGTCCAAAGACATGGGGTACAGGTGAATTGGGTAGGTTAAAGTTGTCCATAGTGTATGTGTGTGAATGAGAGAGTGTTTTCTAGTGATGGGTTGCAGCTGGAAGGGCATCCGCTGTGTAAAACATATGCTGGAAAAGTTGGCGGTTCATTCCTCTGTGGCAACCCCAGATTAATAAAGGGACTAAGCCGAAAAGAAAATGAATGAATAAAGGTCGAAGCTTCGAAACGTTTTGAAACCCGTCTCTACATTGATGCCTTGTGGTCATTTTTTATGTATTGCTCTGGAACAGCTTCAGCAACCACATTGTGCTTCAGCACAATGAAGTACTGTAATAAACCCCACGTTGTAGAGTTGAGGTTTCAAGTGATTTAGTGAACTGGTGAGAATTCATGAGTAGCATGCAGAGAAAATGGGTTCGAATGCAGGGTGATGCAGTTATAAATGTTAGTTTTTAAAAGCTCTGTTCCTGTAACGTGTTTTGTTTTAATATTGGTCTGACATCCAAATGAACAATATGTGAATAAATATGTCTTGTTTTGATCATAAAAAGTAACATTATTGAAATACATTAAATCATAATTTTACAGAATTTGTACAAGTTGGCATTCGAACTCGGGTCATTTGCCGTTGTAACTATGTGTACTCGCACAGTCCAGTAGACTACATGAGACTTTTTTCCTACCCTGTCAGTCAAAAAAAGCAGATTTGCCAGGTCTCAAAACGCTTCTTAATTGACAGAGGCTTTGAATCGGTTTTGAAACACTTGCACTTCGGGATCTCGAAACTGTGTAAAAACATTAGTTTCATGTCAGCCACCCCTAAATAAAACCTGCACGTCGATGGGCATGGGATGATAATCGGTTTC